CAATTGGAGCACCTCTAATTGTGATAAAAAAAAAAACCACGGGCAATAGCCACAAAACAATCCACTACGAAGACATAAATGAATTACACAATTGTACTCTCAATTACCTAGCAAATCCACACCCGAATCGAACCAACCCCTATGTGCCTCTTCCAGCCCGTCTTCACCTCGAAATTGTCTTGTCCAACGTTGAATCCACAACGCCGATGTCGAATCCACGACAATGAACCACTCTAGAATCCACCAAAGCTTTAGGCTCGAATTCCACGGAATCCACCAAAGAACAACACTCTCTTTTGTATTGAATAAACAAACAATCCTTTGATGTATACTTCTTAAACCATGAGTTGAATACTCAATCAAATATCCAAAAAAACTAGCAAAATAGCCTCAAAAGAAAACCCTAAAACCCTCAAAGAAGATCTGAAAAACATAACCCCAGATTTGGAGCAACTTGAGGTTTTATAAAAGCTGAGATCGCGAGATCCGCTCGAGCGTGGGAATGGACGCTCAAGCGGGGATTCTATATCGAGTGTTCCAAACCAGGATGTACGCTCAAGCGCGGAAATGGACGCTCGAGCGTAAAAACACACCTCACAGTATATTTGCAAACAGGTCAAACTGCTGGAACTCAACCTTCTTTGCTCGAGCGTACAAACGACCGCTCGAGCGGACAGGCCGCTCGATCCCTGTCATAGTCAGCGAAGTGGCAATCATGAAAGAATTAGCACCACAAACTTCTCTACCAGCACAATTCGGGTTGGATTCGCATCTAAAAACTCATAGCCTCACTGAAATAAAAGTGCGAAAACAAGTACAACTGAAAGGAGTTTTGTCAAACGGGATTGCCAAGAATAAAAACCTAACAAGTTCAAAAAACCAACATATGAACAGAAGATTAACAAGAAACTGTCTCCGACCCAATCAAAAGCAAATGAGGAATACTAATGGAATATTTAACATTAATGACAAAGCTATGCAGTCGGATGATTAAGCAATGAGTAACAAACAAATCTTGGAAAGAAAGAAGAGGACTCATCTTTGTTCTTTGATTTGTAACTCTAAATATGAAAATGGGCAATCTAGAGTGATAATATAACTTTAAAAAAGGCAGCTCAAACTAACCATGCTTCTAATCTATTAAAACTTTTGATGTACACCAAGATTTGTGACTTGCCAAGTTGGTTTGTGGACATATATGCAACTTGGAGTTGGTTAATTTGTTTTTTCTAGTTTTCAGTGCTTCCATACATAATCTTGGTGACAAAATAAGAGTAGTTACACTAATTTTTAAGGAATGAATATTGTTGTCCTCCGCAGAATATTGTATAATTGCTTTTTAACCACAAATCTCATCTAGCTATGCACACATGTTACATGTATCTTAATCTAATATGCTTATTGTCTTGTTTTTTATGTACTTCTAATGAGAACAATTTGGCTAAGGGAACAAAGTGCATACCTATAATTAGACTTTTTTCCTTTTTTCTATACATTTGCACATTCATTTTTTTTTTTTTTAAATTGAATGTTGTCTATGAATTTTTGGTTTGTTTGCTGATATTGTTTACATCAATCATTTAATATATTCGAGTTTTTGTTGATATTGGGTTTTTTATTTTATTTTATTTTTTTACACAGAAATGGTTAGTGGTGTCTCACGTAAGAGACCAACAACATCTAACAGAAGACATGCAAGGCAAACAGAACCTGAAGCGTTGGAAGTGAATGTCCGTGTGGAGGAGGATGACTGTGTCGATGTGAATAATGATTATGTCGATGACGATGTTGGCGTAGAGGATGATGATGTTGATAATGATATTGGTGTGGAGGCAGACCTCATGGAAGACGATGTTGGTGTGGATAATGGCAACACAGAACCAGTTCCAGGTGCTCCAAAGGATCCTTCATTGCTAATTAGTTTCTGTAACCATGTTGCTGCCACTGCTTGGAAGAAAATGGTATTTTTTGAATTTCTCAACAATAAACTAATCACATATGCTATATGCTCCAAATTATTTATATGTTTTATGTAAAATGCAGGAACAGGGACCTCTTAAATGTTTGAATTGTTCTCGAAAGCTTGTCGCATGGCCATGGATGTCACCAACAATCAAAAATGCTAGATGAGACATTTGGTTGAGGAGTCTGGTCTTTGCGTCCTTATTGATCACATATATCAGCATGGCAATAGAATGGCAATATATGCCTTCATTGGAAAGGTGGCATCCAGAGACAAATACATTTCACATGCGAGATGGCCCGTTGGATGATGTACAGACCATACTTGGCATTCTACTCGTTGGCAGAGCTTTGTCATGTCCTAAGTTAACAAGATACGAGACTGCTAAACTAGTGAGTTCTACTTTGGGAGTGCTAATGAATGATGCATTCGCAGAATTAGTTCAATCTCATGGTCAATCCGTGAAGCTAGAGTGGTTAAGAATTTCATGAAGTTAAAGATACAGATGATGCAAATTTCATATAGTACGCAGCCAGAGCTTACTTACTATATTTATTAGGTTGTACCCTCTTTGCTGACAAGAGTGGGACTCGAGTACCCGTTGCTTACTTGCACATGTTGACTGACATTAATGTTGTTGGCTCATAGGCATGGGGTGTTGCAGGTTTAGCATTCCTATATAGACAATTAGGACTTGCTAGTAGGGTTGGCGTTAAGTAGATTGCGAGTTACTTGAAGCTATTGGAAGTGTGGATTTATAAGAATTTTCATTTAGGAAGGCCTCATCCAAGTTTGTCGTATTCTGATGAACAACCACGTGTCTGTCGTTGGAGTCCGCGAAGAGATGAAGGTTTTACAGAAGACCACTTGCAGACATTACGAGAGCAACTTGACATGTTACGTGCTAATGAGGTTAGGCATTTCATAATAGTGTCATATTGTAAAAAAATAAGATTTTACAACTAACATTATGCATTGCCTATTTATAGGTCGAGTGGGATCCATATCATTTATGTAGGGCACACCATCCACTTTATGACATTGCATATTATACTGGATGCTTGAAATTCTTTGATATTGTTCAACCCTATCATCTCAACAGGGTTTTGCGACAATTTGGTAGGGTCCAAACCATTTCACCAGCTCGATTATCTCATATTCGAGCTATACGAGATAGTAAACCAGGACAGTATAGAATCATATATCAATACCATGACACAATATGGGCGCAATGGGAGAATCATATGTCGTCCATTAACGCTCGTAGTGTGCTTGCACAGCAGAGCCCATCTAAATGTGTACGGGGATACCACCAGTGGTATGCTCGTGTTTCGCACCGAGTTGTTCAGAATCCTACGCATCACTCTCAGTTTGATGCACGTGTTCAACGTCTCGAGAATGATGTTAATATGGATCCCGAGTGGGCAAAGAATTGTGAATTAACTTATTTCACTGTTAAGTGGTTCACCATAAATCAAACACTATGTATGATTTTTATCAATTTTTTTTAGTGTAAAATATTGCTTTTAGTGTTGGTGCTACAGTCCATAAGCTCGGTCATGATGAGTGTGTGTTGCATCCTGACATGTTGTATGAAACCATTGGTAGAATGCTGCAAGTTCTTGATGGACAGAGTGTGGGATCTATATCGACACGTACAGAATATCAAATCTACTATCGTAAACGTCGTAGGATGGACCGTACATGAGGATTGGGATCTAGTTTTTTTTTTTCTTTTTTTTTTTTTTTTGATGTCATAGTTATGTGAATGTGTTGATCGTACATGAGAGTTAGAATCTAGTTTTTGTTTGATGGCATAGTTGTTGTGAATGTTTAACCCGTAACAGGGTTTGGGATATACTTTTTGTGTTGACCATACAAGAGAGTTGGGATCTATTTTGTTTTTGATGGCATAGTTTTTGTGAATGTCTAGCCCCTACATAGTTTGGGATATACTTTCTCCTAATGGCATAGTTTTTGTGGATGTCTTGGATCAATGGTAGACTAGATGTTTCGTTAGACAAGTAATGAAGTCTTATATTTTTGTATGAATTTTAAACAATTTCATATCTATTTTGTATTCAATATTTATATAATGATTTTAATGAAAAATCATTTTGGTGAACATATGAATTTGTTATTGTTTGTAATGCATTGTAATGATATTAAAGTGTTTTGGAGTGATATGGTGTCATACTGGAAGTAACATTGTTTTTTTTCAGCGTTACAGGCCAGTTCAGTGGTACATTGCTAAACAATTTCCATTATTCCGGTGTTATGTTGCCGGAAAAAATAGATCTCTCCAGCATTTTATTGATATACATTTGCAGAGCCACTTTCTTCAAAATAATGATTTTTTAATTTGTGTTGGGCATGTTCGGTAATATAATGCTAATGAATTTGAATTACTCCAATGTTGTGTTACCAGACAAACTATTTTTTCCCAGCATTTTGTTGCCTTTCAATTGGATAATTTCAATTTGCTTCACAACAAAGTTGGTGGAGCCCACAGTGAAGTGTCTGTTCGGTTACACAGTACTAGACAATTTACATTCTTCTGGTGTTATGTTGCCGGGAAAAATAGGTTTGTCCAACGTTTTGTTGCTATACATTTACAAGGCCACTTTCTTCCAAACAATAATTTGGACCTGTTAGGTAATACAATGCTAACAAATTTGATTTCATCTAGTGCCATGTTACCAGACAAAATAAATAAATAAATTTCCAAGAAGTCTGTTACCGTTCGATTGGATAATAACAAGAAATTAATTCCGGTTAGTTGTGAAGTGCCTGTTCGGTCATACATTGCTATACAAATTGGATTACTCTAATGTCATGTTGCCAAACTATAATAGATTTCTCTAGGCACTTGTCACTGTACATTAAAAGATTTACTTTTCCCTTCAAACATCCATAAATCAAACACGCATCCATAAAATCATACGTAAAAAGTATCCATAAAATTATTCATTAAAAAATTAGTGTACGAATATCCATAAAATCTGTCATTGTTTGCATCTTTTAATCAAACATGTTATCATAATTCGTCTATATCGATACTTTCAGCAGTTGCTACATTAGGGCTGACAAGAGTATGGAATTGATGAATACGAATAGTATATGCTTTCCTCCATCCACTAGCACACGTGTGATAAAAACGAATCCAATTATTTGCTATCGGAGGTATTGGATGACCAAATTGCAAATAAACCTATAACAAAGAAATGAATAAGTAGAATTAAAAAATAAGACATGGTAATGATCTAAGTAGGCTCGGTAGTTACATTTATACGTCAAATTATTAATAAAACTCAATACAAATTAAAAATAAGAAAGAATTGTATTCATAAAAACACTTAACAAATCTCGTCTCTAATGAATTCATGATTGAAGTCCACTAATAATGCAGTACTTGCGTTGTTGCAATAAGTATAGCTATAATCCTTCCAAGCAAAAAAATATAAAAAATATAAAAAAAATGAAACTGAAAATACATGGTAATGTGTAGCTGACTAAATTTAAAAAATTCAGCCTTAGGTTACCAGAAATGTATCTTTTATTCGGCAGTTGGTTACCAGACTTACATTTTTTGTTCAGCAATGTGATGTCGGACTATTTTATTTTGTTCGATTTCGAAGTACCGAACAAAATTCAAAGAACATTCGAGAAAAACGAAACAAAAACCTATCAAACAAATAAAAAAAATCTCACCATTTCACTTTTTTGATGGTTCTTCACCACTATTTCTTCATCCATTGTTTTCTTTGATGATCAAAACACTATGATTCTCACTTTTTGAAAGGGGATGTGTAAGAGAAACAAAAAAATTGAGAAACGAAAAAGAAGAGTAGGGATTAAAGACTAAGGAGTGTAAGGAGATAATAAAATGTATTTAATTTTAATGTTTTGTCCTTAAAAGTAATTTCACACATGAATAAAATTGAAAGAAAAAAAAAAGGCTCGTATGGGGGGTGTAAAGAGGTAAAATAGTAATATAAGTAGAATCAAGTGTCCTTTGGATAAAGAAAATCTTAAATTGGTTTTATGGACCAAGTGTCCTTTTTAATTTTGTCAGTTTAAATGCTAATCTATTGATTTATTTTCAATCTAAATATCTATCTATTTTCATTACGTAAATTTGACCCCAAAAAAATATATTTTTGTCATTAAATTGAATGAAAAATTATATTTTTAGACATTTTAAATATACTTACATTGAGTTTAATGATTAAAAAAAATTTTGGTCAATTTTACTTAGCCGAAATAGAGGAATGATTTAAATTAAAAATAAAAAAACTTAAATTTAAATTCATAAAATTAAAAACGCGAGATTTATTTTATTAAAAGGATTTTATTCTATAATTTTTTGGAACATTCTTTTATTTGACATGACAACCCAAGCATTTATTATTTTGATCCAACTTTGCATAGGATATGACGCGGTGTGTTGAATCTCTAACATTGTAGTGGTAACATAAAAATGTCTTGTAAATTCTTCTTCTTTTTATTTATTAATATTTATTTGTTTTGGAATCGTGGATAGCAATGTATGTCTAGTTTAGAATTGAGCAAACGCTGATTATTGTGTGAGTTGGTCCATCCCCTATGTGGATTGCTTTTTTTTTTTTGTTGCTTGTGCTTTCGAGTCTTATAATTTTATTTTATTTTTACTTTTTTGGGATCTCTAATAGAAGTAATACTATGTTTGAATGAAGTGATTTAGTGATAAATGACAAGAAATTGAACTCTTTTACCATTTTTTGGTTTATATGTTAGGTAAAAAGGTAAGAAATTATATAAAATTAAAAAAAAAATTGTGAGAAATGGTTATCTTATTTTAAATATTTTATTTCTCATCAAAAGTATTGAGATTTGATAAGAAACTATTTTGATAGTTTTCATAATACCAAAATTGTTCATTAAAATACAAAAGAATAAAAATAAATTCTACTCATATCTCTATATCACATATTTTATATTTTTACTTATCCAAATATAATAATGAAAATATATAATTATTTCTTTTATTTTTTCACCTCACAATCCCACCGGAACGTAACGGGGTGTTTTAACTATGGAGAGTTTTCTCAAAGTTGGGTTTCACTTGTCTTGTATAGGACTGCAGACAAACTATGACGTTCATGAATAGTTTGAATACAATAAGTTTAAAACTCGTTTAAACTCAGATCTTTTATTAAATAAACAAGTTTGAGGTCAATTTTTAAGTTTAAAAAAAATAAATTAACATTTACTTGTAATAATATATCAAATAAATTTTTAATAATTTATTTTTCTATTTGCGTTTAGTATTTGTGTGAATTTACATATTTGATTGATAAAATTTATTATTAATATAAGCATTTTTTTTATATTTCGATCATAATTTTTTATTTTTTATTTTAATAATTTTTTATTTTTATTTTAATAAATAAATAAATTTAAAATTTACCTAATTTGAATGTACTTAAAAAGTAAATTATATTTGAAGAAATTTGAAAATAAAGTTCACTACTCAACACATTTACAGCCCTAATCTGGTATTCAGTTCAATCTCTCCGAAAAGAATATGTACTAATTAGTGTACACATTAGTGTACCAACAGATGATGTGGCATAATTTTAAAGGTTTTGAGTATTTATAATTTGTATAATGAATAGGATCATTAATGATATTATAACACTAATTAGTATACTAGTGTGTATATTAATTGGTGCATGTAGCACCACCGCTCCGAAAATAAAGTAAGTGATAATGGTGGGACTAGTTGACTAGTAAATTCTCTTTTCACTACTTAGAAAACGAAATTGGACTAGTCCTTGCCCCATGTTCGGCTTCATAGGAGGTCCGAGAGGGTTAAGAGTACAGTAAGTTTAAATAAAAAAAATTATTAATATATTGATATTAAATTAGAAATATAGGATAAAAGTGTTTGTTTATATATTACTAGACTAGTAAGACCATTAATATATAAAAAGGTAAACTATCCATAGGTCTTAATAATTGGACTTAATTCTCATTAAGTCCTATTGAAAATAATTCTTGGTAAAATTATTACTAAAAATAATTTTTTGTGACAATTTTTTACGTATGTCATTAAAAATTAACAATTAGTGACTTTTTTGTCATGGTTTTTATAAATTGTCACTAAAACTTACAATTAGTGATGTTTTTCTGTGACGAATTTTTTAAATTGTCCCTAAAAGTTGTGAATTAGTGACACTTTTTTTGTGATGTTTTAAACAATCGCTAAAACTTATAATTAGTTACATTTTTTTTCTGAAAAAATTTTCATATTGTTGCTGAAAATTAACAATTAGCAACTTTTTTTAATAATGTTTAATGAAAAATGTCATTAATTATTATAGGACTTATTGGGCAATAAGTCCACTTAATAGGACCTACACGTAAATCCCCCTATATAAAATTAATATTTTTAAATTTTTAGTATATTTTAATATTATAATTATTTTTTTATTTAAAAAAATATATTTTTTACTTAAAAATCATTTAAAAATTCATTAATCTGCTCACTCAATTTCTAATCCCAACTTTCTCATGACTTTGTTAGTCGTACCACATGGAGGGATTACTAGTCCAATAGGATAGTTAATCGCCCCAGTCATGTCTTTAACCCCATTCCTAAAGAGCCAAACAATTATACCCTTCAATTTATGGACGATGTTTAATAAAATATTAAAATATTCCAAATAAATTATAAATACACCTTTTGAAATTTATTTAAAATATAATTTACTTCTGTAATTGTAAAATTTATTTCTTACCTTTTCAAGTTTTTAATTGCATAACAAATTATTCATTTTATTAATAAATTATTAAGTCAATTAACAATTTCTAATAATGTGATAAATATATAACAATTAATAATTTATGTAATTTTATTATTCTATATGAGAATAGTTAGAAATTTAGTTTTTTCTGGTAATTTTGTTAAATAAAAAATTCTGACAATGAAATATTTGTAATTTTTAGAACTACATGAGGTAATTCATATTTTAAGCCCTCGTTTGGCATATTGATTAGGTTGGCTTTTTGGCTAAAATAATCACAAAAAGATAAAATAGACTAAAAATTCAATAAGGAAAAATGTCACATTCAAACTATAATCATTTCATTTTTTTCTCTCACAAAAGTTAAAAATCTAAAAAGCTCAACCCAAATGAAACTTTTTAGCCCCAGACTAAAATAGTTAAAAAACCAAAAAGTCAACCCACTTCCCAAACGAAACCTAAATAAATTTCAGGTGGTGTAACTGCAATTTGCCTAAATATTTGTAATTTTAATATAATCTTTGGTAAATTAAAAATACATTTCTGAGATTTGCTTAAAATATGAATTGTCTCTTGTAGTTCTGGAAATTACAGATACCCCATTATAAAAAAAAAAATTATTTAACAGAATTAACAACAAAAAAAATATTCCTAACTATTTTTCTATAAAATAATGAAATTACTTAAATTATTAATGTGAATATATTTTTGATAACATTAAATATTATTAATTGATTTGATAATTTATTAATAAAAGAAAATTGTCATTTGTTATTCAATTAGAAACTTAAAAAGGTGAGATGTAATTTTTAATCACATAGGGCAATCCATATTTTAACAAACCTCAAAGAGATGTACTTATAATTTATCTTATAATCTTCATATATTTTAAAATATTTTTTTTTACGTATATTTTTTTAAACTAACATTCATCCTTATAGTTGTTTTTAGCATTTTCTTTTCTAACAAAACCGTTGGCAATGTTGTTAGGTAGTAGTTTTTCTTGTTTTATTTTAAGTGGTTGTTTGATTTTGCTTAATTTTTAAAAAATTAAGTTTTTTATTTTTCGTTTTTTTTTTTTTTTTGGTGAATTACACTAATAGTCTCTATAATTTGGGGTTTGTGTCACTTTAGTCCCTGACTTTTCAATTGTGACACATTTGACCTTGAATTTTGAATCTTGTTCCAAATAAGGACGATTGAAGATATCATTAGATTTTTCAAGGGTAAAATCGTCAATTTGATAAAATATAAATTAATTTGACAAAAAAAATGTCAAACAAATATTTTTGAATTTTTAAAAATTATTTCTACTCACTAAAAATAAAATTATGTAAAATTGATAAATCTTTTAAACATTTATTTATTTTTTTACCAAATTAATTTGTATTATGTGTTTGGATGATGGTCGTGTAAAATTAAT